CTGGGACTGGTGGGGGTTGGTGAGAAGGGAGGTTGTGGGAAGAGGCCAAACAAAAATCTGCACTCTGCCACTGGCCACGCAACCATGCGGGCAGAATGAAGAGTAGAATGGGAAGGGCAAGGGGAAATGTTCTTTCTCTCATGCTACTCCTTCTGACCATTGTTTTTTTCTCTTCTCCTCCCTCTCTTCATTTTCTCCTCAACCTAGATTTCTTCCAGATCTCTATGCCTCCTAGGTCCCTCAATGTTTCCTCTCTGCCCCTCCCAGAAGTTCAGTGTTTTGTGTTCAATGTTGAATACATGAATTGCACTTGGAACATCAGCTCTGAGCCCCAGCCTACCAACCTGACTCTGCGCTATTGGTATGAGAAGGGAAGAGGGGTAGCATAGGGGTGGAAGAAGAGGTAGGCTGGATCACAGACCAAGAAACAGGGTAGCTAGACTCCCAGGTGTCCCATTCTTTTCTCATGGGGTAAGGCATCAATCAGTTCAGAGGCAGTAAGGCTGGGCTATGGATATCTGCAGTATCCAAATTGGTCCCACTGTTCCTCTTCCTTCCAACCCATCTCCAGGTACAAGAACTCTGATAATGACGTCCAGGAGTGTAGCCATTATCTATTCTCTGAAGAGATTAGTTTTGGCTGTTGGTTGCAAAAAAAGGAAATCCATCTCTACCAAACATTTGTTGTCCAGCTTCAGGACCCACGGGAACCCACGAGGCAGGCTACACAGATACTAAAACTGCAGAATCTGGGTAATTTGGAAAGAAGTCAAGAGCCCAGGGATATTGTGGGACATTGGAGTCTAAGGAGTGGTATTCTTTCACTGTAAGGGTACATGGGCATAAAAGAGGAGGTAGGGGATTAGAATGGGAAGGGAGGAAGGGTAAGGAGTATTACCTTCAGGATCCTGACTTGTCTAGACCAGGGGAATGACCATACATGCACACATATCTCCAGTGATCCCCTGGGCTCCAAAGAATCTAACCCTTCGCAACTTGAGCGACTCTCAGCTAGAACTGACCTGGAACAACACATACTTGGACCATTGCTTGGAGCACCTGGTGCAGTACCGGAGTGACTGGGAACACAGCTGGACTGTGAGTGACTGGGGAAGTCAATGTAGCAGCTGAGCCCAAGCAAGTGGGGATAAAGTATTCAATTAGCCAGATAGAAAAACCTGATATCAAGCTCAAGCTTTTCTGCCTCCTAGTTCTTCTACTCATCCTCATCCTCCTCCAAATCCTTTCCCTATTTTC